GACATATTTACGCTGAGAAATGAAGATACCATCCTGAGATCTAGCAACTTCAATGCCCAAAAAATACCGAAGATCTCCCAAATCCTTGATCTCAGATTTAGAGTTAAGAAATCTTGAGTTTACTGACCTCTTGAGTGTCATTACTCGTGACCACAATATCATCAACATAAGCTATCAAAAAGGTCACCAGAGAGCCATTTCTCTTCAAGAACAGGGTATGATTAGATTGAGTTTGTGTGTAACCAAAGGAGACAAGAGCAGCCCTGAACCTCTCAAACCAAGCCCGAGGAGACTGTTTGAGACCATAGATAGATTTCTACAGTTTACACACCTTGCCTTGCATTTCCTTCCCATACACCCCTGGAGGCAAAGACATATAGACCTCTTCATGTAGATCTCCATTCAAGAAGGCATTTTTAACATCAAACTGGTGTAGGGGCCAATCAAAAGTAGCGGCTAGAGATAACAAAACCCAGACTGAGGTCATCTTAGCTATAGGAGCAAATGTCTCAAGATAGTCAATACCATACATTTGAGTGTAGCCTTTAGCAACCAGCCTAGCCTTAAACCTCTCAATAGATCCATCAGAGTGATATTTACTGGTAAACACCCATTTACAACCCATTGGTTCCTTCCCTTCAGGCAAGTCAACAATATCCCAGGTATGGTTCTTATGCAAAGCATCCAGTTCAGTCATCATAGCATCCCTCCATTCAGATTTAGATAAGGCTTCCGGAACGGATTTGGGTATCACATAGGAAGAAACAGAAGCAAGAAAAGAGTAGTAGGAAGGAGAGAGAAGGTTGTAAGACAGGTGTTTGGAGATACAATGGGCTACACTTCCGTTTGCCCTTGCGGAGAGCAATAGGAAGGTCAAGGTTTGGGAAAGATGTAGATGGGTCAGAGGAAGGCTGACCTGTTACCTCAGTAATGATGGGAGGAGCAAGAGGCTCTTCTGTAGGAGTGGAAACAACTTGCCCATGTCTGAATCTGTGCCTTTGGTACCACCTTTGGAGAACAGGATGAGGGGGAATTATAGGAGAATGAGGTGGAGGAGGAGGAGGAACAAGAATGTTGGAGGTAGGTCCAGTGGGAGAAGTGGATACCTCATGAGAGGACTCAAGAGGAATGGGAAGAGGAACAACTGGAGACATAGCAAAGGGTTTTTCAGATTTCTCCCCCTCGGAAGAAATACTAAAGAAATGAGTCAACTCAGCGAATGTGACATCCTGAGATACAAAGCGGGTGCCACTAACTGGATCAAAATAGCAATATCCCTTCTGTGTGGAGGCATATCCCAGAAAAACACATTTACGAGCCTTAGGTTCAAATTTGTGCCTTTGATGGATGTGAACATGCACATAGCAAGTGCACCCAAAAACACGGAGAGGAAGAGAAAAAAGATCATCATCCTAGAAGAGAAGGCTAAAGGGGGTTTTGAAGTTAAGAACCCGGGAGGGCATACGGTTGATAAAAAAGGTAGCAGTAAGAATAGCATCTCCCAAAAATTTTATAGGAACATGGGATGCAAACAGGAGGGATCTGGCAACTTCAACCACATGTCGGTTCTTCCTTTCTGCCACTCCGTTCTGTTGTGGAGTGTAGGAACAAGAAATTTGATGAATAACCCCAAAAGTTTTAAGATAGGCGGAGAGGGTTTTCTCAAAATACTCCTTAGCATTATTAGAACGAAATATTTTGATCCGAGTGTTAAATTGGGTGAGGATGAGTTCATGAAATTTTTGCACAATAGCTGGTACTTCATCCCTGGATTTCATGAGATAAATCCAAGTGTAACGAGAGTAGTCATCAATAAAAAGGATAAAGTACCTATAACCCCCCATAGTTGGCAAATGATATGGCCCCCACACATCAGAGTGAACAATATGAAAAAGAGAGAAATCTTTTATTACTTACTGAATAAGAATGTCTACGATGCTTTGCCAGTTCACACGACTCACAATGAAGACTCGATAAGGACACTCCCTTAAACATATTTGGAAACAAATGACTCAATGCAAAAAAAGACAAATGACCAAACCGAAAGTGACATAACAAGACTTTGTCAATAGACTCTGACAAGACTGACTCTAAGGCAACTCCATGAGGTGGTCCAAAAGCTCTATCCGGTGTGTCCAGCAAGTATATTCCGTTCGCCTCATGGCCACTCCCAATCATCCTCTGAGATTGCAGGTCCTGAAAAACACAATGAGTGGGAAAAAAGGTTATGCTACAATTCATGGATTTAGTTAAGCTGTTAACAGATAAAAAGTTTGTATTAAGTTTAGGGACATGAAGGACAGAGGATAAATAAAGGGCGTCAGAGGTCTTTATATCCCATTTACTAGAAATGGGAGCAAGAGACCCATCAGCAAGGGATATTTTCTCTTTACCAGAGAGAAGGTGGTATGAGCGAAAGAGAGTAGACAGGCTGGTCATATGGTCTGATGCACCGGAATCAATAATCCAAGGGATTTTATGATGACCTGAAACTGAAGCATGATTTGCAGAAGCACAAATACCTAAGTGAGCAAATGCAGATGATAATGATGTGTTGCTGGAAGAGTAAGATGAAGAAATAGTAGTTTCCAAGTGATTTAGCAGCCTCCCATACTTTTCAAAATCCGCCTTCATTGCTGCCAACTACTCAATGGTTGATTTTTCTTCACTCTCCTTATTTCCTCCTTCAGGTACTGTAGCAACATTAGCTGTCTTAGGCTTTCCTACCTGATTGCCCTTCTTAGAATTGTTGTTATTCTTAAACCTATCAGGAAGAAGCTCAGGATGAAGNTTGTTGTTATTCTTAAACCTATCAGGAAGAAGCTCAGGATGAAGCTTCCAGCAAGTGTCCTTTGTATGCCTCGGTTTCTTGCAATAWTCACATATCTGYTCYTTTTTCTCMRTAGGACCCTTTGGCTTTATTCCAGCATGTGCAAAGTATTCTGTATGTGGACTCTGTAACTGAACCTGTCACCTACTCTCCTCACTGCTTATCATAGCATAAGTCTGGGAAAGATTAACCTCATCTTTGGCCAGGATATTTTGCCTAATGATGTCAAACTCAGGGTTGAGTGTAGTAAGAAATTCAAACACCCTATTTCTCTCCACCAACTTCCTATACATTTCAACATCATTCTTACTCTCCCATACAATTGTCTCCATAACATCAATTTCTTGCCGTAGGGATTTCAGTATAGAATAGTAGATTGCTACACTCTTCTCCCCCTGTCTTAGGTTYTTCACGTCAMTTTTCAACTTGTAGACTCTGGCTACATTCAACTTCTGTGAATAGGTCTCAGTAACACTGTCCCATATCACCTTAGCCGAAGACATCTAGAGATAATGCTGACTTATATGAGGTTGCATAGAGTTGACCAACCATCCAATGACTGTATAGTTCTCCTGCATCCATTTCTCAAATCCAGGGTCTGTCTCTTCGGGTTTCACTTTACTACCTGTGAGATACCCGAGTTTTCCTCTACTACAGACATAAATTCTTATAAACTTACTTGAAGTCAAACCAGAAACCAGATGCTTGAAAACTAGGGTTTTACTCCGTTCAACTGTTGGGGAGGAAGAGAGAAGATGCAGCTGTTCCTATTAGAGCTTCCCAATCTCTTCCAAACCTGAACCGCCCTCCTTTAGGAGTCAAAAGACACCTCCCAAGCACAGAGYRCCACACCCAAAGCTTCACCTTTACCTGTACCTTCGAAAATCTCTAGTCGGCTAGGGTTTTGGGCAGCAACAGAGTAGCACCACTTCTTGGCAATATCCAGCCAGATTTAAACTCTCCAAACCCTCTACCAACTAGGCCAAAGATCCTCTAARCTATAGATAACCTATCTCTCCATACACTCTTAATCTAAGGGTGTATGGGAAAAGAGGAAGAAGAAAAGAAGGAAAAAAGAAACCTGCTCTGATACCAAGATGCAAACCAGTCCTCAAAAATAGGTGTAAACTTGAAAAATTAGAGAGAAAAAGGAGGAAGAAAAGTAAGAGCAGCAGTACAAAAGAAGAAGATGGAGAAAAGAGGAGAAAGAAGAAGAAAGGTTTGAATAATCCTTCCCTTTCTTCTCTAATCCTTTTTACTAAAAATTAATGTTAAAATAATTACAAATATGCCCTTAAGTGGGTGGCCAGCTAGGCAGTAACATAAAGAGATCAAACAAAAAGAAATAACAGGCCCATTAGCTAACAGGAAAATAGAAAAAATATTACAAGAGAAGATACTAGGACCCATTCGGCCCAATCTCTTTACAAAGGGCTAGGGATAGACCAAAAAGGACATGGGTCATCAAAAAGCTCTCATAATTTAACAATGGATATGGCTTTAAAGAGAATGGAATGTTGAAATAGGATTCTTGTTGCCAATCCCACGTAGTTGGGTTAAGTCTTGGATGATGATGATAATGATTCACTTGCCATTTTGACTTGTGTATTTATTGCTACTACATATTTTGTTTAGATTGGGAATCCTCTTCTTTAGTTGTGTGCCTTTTTTCCTGCTTTCTTTCTTAGTAAATGCATGGTGTCCGTGTATTGGTCATCCTGGCTCTTAACTCAGTGAAGGTTGGATGCATTAAAACCAACTTCCACTGGGTTCTATTGGCTACAATCTCAGTTTCTCTCGAGTCTGAAGTCTGCATAAATAATTGGTTATTCTCGGGGGTATTTGGTTTCATGGTTCATTAATGTAAGCATGGCATGGCAGTTTCTGACTGTATGATCAAAACTAAATAGTGAAAGTGCATGTACACATGAATCACACAAACACAGTCAAGGCTCACATATCATGGTTCAAAAAATGAACCACCAACAGAACAGCCTCTTTTGCATTGTGTGGTTCAGAACAATGCATTGCTATTTTCAGAAAAAAAAAATGGTATGTTTCTGGAACCATACCACCCTTTTTCAGAACCATGAACCAACACCACCTTAATCAGTCATGTTGCAATTCATAAATCTAGCATGGTTTAAATTGTTCTATTCCTAAGTCAGTCTTTTTGCAGTCTGTGAACTTCAAATGATTTTACTTCTATTCCTAAATCAATTTTGTTGCAACCTGTGAACTTTACATGGTTTTACTTGTTCTATTCCCTATTTTAAATTCTTATGCCTTCTGAAAGCTTACTTATTTTTGTCTCATTATCCTTGCAAAATCTTCAGTTTCCTTCGGAGTTCATTATCTTTGCACTAGATGCTAAATCTATGGTTTTATGCAAAAGAGCCTGCAACACATTTAAATTCCAAGTTGTGTAATTTGCAGGACACCTGACATGTCTGCCATGCATCATGACACGTCTCCAGATCTCAAGGTGGTGGGGAACAAATTGAAGGATATCCTAGGGGTATGCTTTTTTTTCTTTCCTCGAAACTTTGTTAGGCACTACAATATCAACAATGCTCCCTTTTGTTATGAAAATAAATAAATAAATAAAAAGCATTACCCTCTTCCTCCAGGGAAAAAAGAAGGAAGAAAATGGAAAGGGAAAAGAAAAATGGAAGACTTGGGGTGGGGGGCTGGAAGTATCTCATTTGCACAAAGATACTTGTGACAGATGCATCAAATTGCAGCTTTCAGTTGTCAGGACAAACGTCCTGATCTTTTTCTCACATTTACTGTGGATAAATTTGAAAAATACGAGTTATGCATTTGTGGGATGTGGTTGAGTATGCCATTACTGAAGCAATCATTAAATTACTGTACAGGTTTCCTTATTTATTTTGTGTTTTTTTCTTCGCTCTTATTTCAGATACCTAATACTTCCTTGAAAACAAGAAAGGCCGTTGTTGAGCTCTGTAACATTGTTGCCACTCGTGGAGCCCGTCTTTCTGCAGCAGGGATCTTGGGCATTCTAAAGAAATTGGGAAGAGATGTTGTAAAGGAGGGGGAGAAGCAGAGGACAGTGCTAGCCATGGATGGTGGGTTGTATGAGCATTACACAGAGTTCAGAGTGTGCCTAGAAAGCACTCTCAAGGAGTTGCTGGGAGAGGAAGTTTCGGCTAATGTTTCTGTTGAACATTCCAATGATGGCTCCGGTATTGGAGCTGCACTTCTTGCAGCCTCTCACTCCCAGTATTTGGAGGTTGAGGATTCCTGAGAATGGTCTTCAAGGAGAGAGTAGCAAATTGTAGATCGCATTTTCCCATTTCACGTGATCCATTTCTTGATGATCATATTTTCCCTTTGATTTTTTTGTTCGCATCCTCAGATCACTTGAGGCATTTTCTCTTTCCCCTCTATTTTAGATATTGTTACAGCAAGTCCATTATTTATGGCTTTGCAGGATATGGTAAAGAGGTAGGGTGGATGTCTAAATTGCAGGACATGGAAGTGGTGTGGTCATTGCTTTCCCACTTCAGCCTGCGAGTTTGTTCCTAGATGCCATTTTAAGTTTGGGGTTGCCTTGGGGGCAATAGTTGAATATAGTGTAACTAAAGTTTCTCCAGATTTGGAGAATAAATGGGGAAAGAAAATCTTGAGTTGTTAGTAGTAGTTTTCTCTGATACAATAAAATAAAGCAGGACTTGTATTATACAACATTCTGAATTTCTGATGCGTTATGTAACCTGCTGTTGTGGTTTCCTACCTCAGATTTGCATCAATCATCTCTCAAGGTTAAACTATATATTACGGTCGGAAATAAAGCTTTCTCCATTGACACAGCTAGCTAGAGTTCACATCTCCGCCCCACAACGTCCCACAGCCTTCAGTTGGTGTTCCATACTTCCATTCGCCCTCACCCTCACTTGTATGAGCAATATACAAGCATGCTTGTTAAACACGCCATAAGTAGTGTGAGCTTGTAAGGAGTAAATGACAATGCATAACAAGCCATGAAAATCAAGACCAGTAGAGCAAAATACTAAACAGGTGTTTTGCTATGAGATCGGCTTCCATCAGGGCAAACCTGTGCCCACACAGGTTAGACTTGGAAGTTTTTATCTGTAATTTAAAGCTAGTTTCCGCAGGCCACCATCTCCTTTGTTTTATTCTAGTTTCATGACTTTAACAAGGTAGATTCGAACAGGCTCGGTTTTAACAAGAAGGTAGTTTCCGTAGGCCACAAGCTCAGTGACCGAACCTGTTATACCCCTACTCGCTTCAACCTAGCATAATAGCGTGGAGCCGTGGACCCAATCAACTTTGGTAGTTTTAGCCGAATAGTTCGAATTCAGACAAACAAGGAAAATTTCGAAGATCAAGACCAACTTGGCTGGTAGATGGTTGTTATTATTATTCTAGTTGCTACTTGCTAGTACACATACTAGTTAGTAGTTAACATTTGGTGATGATATTTATGTAAAAGCAAGTGAGAGTCCATATGCACCTCTGCGAATGTATTTACATCCAAAATGTAAGCAACCCAGTAATAAATTCATGGACCCTACCATAAAGATGCCGCCCCATATATTATGTAGAACCATATTATTGATTCCACAGCCTGTTGAAAAGCTAGTGGAGCCAAATTGGCCGTCGATCAAACACTTGAAGGGTGTCGGCCTCATCCTCTTTTTAATGAGTAGCTACTTGAGGTTTAACTGATCTCTGACTTGTTAGGCAGCTAAGCCAGTTATAAACAAACATGGCTTACGATACTTGTGCAGCTGAACACCAACCCTTAGGTTCCCTTGCCTTCAGCTCAGTCCTCTCGACACACTAGTGAATGGATTTGCGCAGCATATACGAGGAAGTTCAGTGAATGGATTCCACAACCACAAAAAACATGTCGATTGTCATTCATGGGGTTATGTTTCCGGCACTAGAGTCTTGTGGGTACACCGTACACGTACGGGTGGCATCTTTCTGGGCAGCAGATCTGAGCACAGTGCAGAGCAAGTTACAGCATTAGACAAAACAACTCTCACAGTGGCCTTATTGGATGATGATCAAGCGTCATATGAATATGATAAGGTATCATCATCGGCATCTGTTGATGTTCTCTTACTCCTCCGGCTCCGGTTGCTGGAAAGGTATGTAGGAGCAGTGAGCAGGGGAGCTATATCAAAGTCGCCCTTCCCCACCTTCTCCCCGTGGCCTTGGTGCAGGGGGTCATATCGAGTTAGAACTTGAGACACCTGTTTCATGGAAGGCCTGGTGGAGGGCAAGGTGCTGGTACAATGGATACCCAGCTGGAAGACAACCCTCATCTCAGCCAAGTAACAAGGTTCCCTGATTTGCTCGTCCAGAGCATCTTGAATGGGTTTTCCATCTTGCAAGTGTTGCCACGCCCACTCTGCCAGGCTTGAATTCTCACCTCCATCGTTGGCTTCCCTTCCGGTTACCAGCTCCAGGAGCACTACCCCAAAGCTGTAGACGTCAACCTTCTCATTCACTTTGGTCGTGTAGGCGTACTCTGTGGAACCCAGAAAACCAAATATAATTTAGACTTAGAAGCAAGCAAGCAAAAGTAAATCACTTTTTTGAGTTAGAAGTACTGTTTCAAAATATATACAAGTGCAAATTATAATTATTTAAGGCGTTAAAATTGGCCATGGAGCACTTGTGTAATAATATTATAATAGCACTTGCCTGGAGCAAAGTAGCCATATGAGCCCGCCACGGCTGACATGCTTTCGGGATCCCCTCGCTTGATCAACATCTTGGCCAGCCCAAAATCTGCAATCTTCGCACTGAAGTCTGAATCCAAGAGGATGTTACTAGACTTCACGTCGCGATGAATGATGGGGGAACGGCAATCGTGGTGCATGTAGGAGAGCCCATTGGCTGCTCCAATTGCAATTTGCAGCCTTCTGGGCCAATCCAATATGGCATCATGGATCGAACCACCAGACGGTAGCAATCCCCTCTTCTTCCCGTGAAGCCAACGATCCAAGCTTCCGTTCTCCATGAACTCATAAACCAAGAGCCTTGATTTCTCACTGCAAATACAGCACATTAACTTCACAATGTTGGAGTGCCGGATTATCCCCAATATCTTAACCTCTGCCTCGAATTCCTTCTCCAACTTCTCCTCCAATTTTCCGTTATTCCAAATCCTTTTGACGGCAACAACCTCGCCGCCGGACTGCCCGAAGGGGACTCGATAAACTTTGCCCGACCCACCACCCCCGATCAGGTTTCTATCGGTCAAATTGGACACAATGATTGACTCTGTGAAAGCCAACCTCTGGAAAGAGGTAAGCTTCCATTTTGCAAGATCTCGTCCATGCTTTCTTCTTCGGCAGTCTCTGACCAATAACAATGCAGATAACAAGGCAACCAGAAACACAAGCCCGGAAAAAGTTATGATTATAGCCAGAAGCCGGGGGGATAACTTCTGCGATTCTTGGGGTTGAGAAGTGCAGACACGTAGGTTTAGGAAAACATTAGCTGCACACAGGCCTGAGTTATTCAAGAAGCTGTTTTCATAGGCCATATTTTCAAATTCATCCGGGATCATCCCCGTTAATTGGTTTGAAGATAGGTTTAAAAAGGTTAGTCTAAGACTGCCGATTTCAGATGGAATATCGCCTGAAAGCTGGTTTTCCGACAGGTCCAGGTCAATTAGGTTTGGAAGTAATCCAATGGCACGGGGAATGTCACCAGACAGTTGATTTCTACTGAGGTTCAGAGAGGTCAATGACTTCCACGAAACTATATCTGACGGGAGCTCACCCGAAAGACGATTTCCGTCCAGCTTTAGAATTGTAAGATGGGAGAGGGCCGTTAAGTTGGTAGGAATTTTTCCGGAGAACTGGTTGTTGCTTGCCAAGAAGACTACCAGATTAGTTGAAAATGCGATATATGAAGGAATCTCACCTGAAAACCTATTGTAACTGATCTCCAATCGTGTTAAATTCCAGGCCAGTTTGCTTGGAAGCTTGCCGGAAAATGAGTTGTTGCTTATCATCAAAGTTGTTAGATTGATCGATGACCAAAGATTGGCAGGAAACTCGCCGGAAAATCCATTATTGTAAAGCTGAATATCGGTCAGACTATTGCAATTTCCAAGGGACGCCGACACTTCTCCGCTGAGGTGGTTCGAGAAGAGCGACACTCCTGTCAACACACCACCGGCGCATAAATGATCCGGCAACTTGCCTGTTAGCCGATTATTCGATACTTCGAGACTTATAAGCTTCGAATAGAGGCCTAAATCGGGGGGCAGGACGCCAGTGAAGTTGTTGTTGAATAGCCGAATATCTTTGAGCGCTGGAAGCCGACCGATACTTGCCGGTATCTCGCCCGATAATCGGTTATAATACATAAATAAATACTGCAACTTATTCAACTTTCCAAAATCTTCAGGTATCGGACCAGTCAACTTGTTGATCGAAATATCTAGATTGTTCAAACTCAAACACTCAATCCTTCTAGGAATCTCACCGGAAAATTTGTTGTTGTAAAGATACAGATTTTTTAGCTTATTCAAAAGAAAAACACTGCCAGGAATCGATCCGTTCATATTGTTCACTGAGAGATCCAAGTGTTGAAGCTCCGTGATATTGCCAATTGATTCTGGAATTTCTCCAATCAAATTTGTGCTCGCCATCCACAAAAGTGTCAGTTTCTTCAACCGACCGAATTGAACCGGCAACCTCGAAGGCAAGAAACCATTATAAGCCATTTGCAAAAATTCAAGGTTCGACAAATCACCGATTTCAGGAGGGAAGGTCCCATTAAACAAATTCTGAACAAGAGAGAGCGTCTTCAACTCCGACAAACGTCCGATTGCTGCCGGGATGTCGCCGGTGAAGTTGTTTGCTTCGAGATTTAGGTAGGTGAGGCGAGAAAGCCGGTGGATATCATCGGGAATGCGGCCAACGAAGTAATTCTGAGAAAGGTCAAGATACACGAGTTTCGAACAGTTGTAGAGAAAGGTGGGAAATTCTCCAGTAATATAGTTGAGAGTGAGGTCGAGGTGGTTGAGGTTGCTGAGATTGCAGATGATGGGAGGGATTGGTCCATTTATGTTCCAGTTGCCAAATGAAATGCCGGTGACGGAACCATTGTCGCAGGTGATTCCCGTCCAATTGCAGAAAGGAAGCGACGATTTCCAAGAGTCCATAGGAGGTTGATTTTTCCAATCTTGCTTTAGTTTGAGTAGRATGGACTGTTCGTCRTATGTGGTCTGGGAGATGGCCTGCAAGGGTAAGAAGAAGAGGAGGAGGAGGGAGGCAAAGAGAGGGCGTGAAATTCCAAGAGAGGTTGAGGGTATTGTAGACATTATTGTGATTGAGGATTGAAAAATGAAGAAGGAATGGGAATGATGAGTGATGAACGATGATGATGAAGCTGAGAGAAGTTAGTTATGGGTTTGCCGGGAAAGGACATTACCGGTATGAACACGAGTGAAGAAGCAGGTGGCGCTTGGATTGGCCGATCTTGAAATTTCAGAAGACTGGAAATCGAAGTCGAGTTGTTTACTAACCTTAGGATACATGTAGCTTCTTCTGCCACTCAACTGAAGCTGCTGATGATGATGGACAGTCATCGTACAGAGCTGATTGGCGATCAGCACTTAGCAGGGGAGTCACCGGAGAGGATAAGACGGAGTGGCCGAGATTGAAGCTTCCTCGTTCCCACTTCCCATTTTATATTCTCTTCAAGGTGGACCAGGCAAAGTCCCCAAATCAACAACCCAACTTTGTGATTGGACGCCATCGAAAGACGCCAATGTTGACTAGGTCAATTTAGGGAGTTTTAGATTTTCAAATTAGCAACCCTAAGAGAAATTACTTTAGTTTATTAGAGGCAAAAGAAAGTCTTTACTAGATGACAAATAGTCAACGTGAGGAAAAAACAACACTATTATTCGATGCTGCTGACGTGTTTACTTATGATTGGTGGGTTTGTAGCCCGTTTTACACGCCTATGGTTTCTTTTCTTTGTAGAAGAAGCAGATCCGCAGTGCCCGGAGATGTCATCGGCACGACGGCACTTCTGCAATAAATACAAAATCTTGACTGTTGATTGGCAGTGGTAGCACCCTATACCCGAGGCCCAGAAAAGCTTGACTGTTGACTGGCAGTGGTAGCACCCCCCACCCCCCATTTTGCTCTTCATTTGTGGGGGGTTCTTGGAATTTTCAAAGTAGCCAAAAATTCTCCTCCGCTGGAGGTTTTGAGCTGCCAAGTGCCAATTTCGCTTTAGAAAGGGTAAAATACAAAATCCCACAATCATAAAAACCTCTCTTATGGTTTCATTTTAGAAAATTCCCCGCTATTTTTAAAATATTTGACAAAAACCTCCCTTCCGTTAATAATCATGACAGAAAACGTGCATAATTATGAAATTACCCCTAAACATCATCTAATCACTTTGTAAAGTACCATATTTGCCCTCAATAACCTCTCCGCTCTTCTCTTCTGTCTCCCCACTGCCCTTACACAATACCGAACCGCCCCCACATAGCCGGAACCTACACTAATCGGACCATATCAATAACTGTCCTTTGCAGTTCTTTGAGATAAGTGGGATAAACTAAAAAAAAACAAGGGAAAAGAAGCAAAAAACCCATTACTCTGGGACAATCAATAATCAAGAGCCATGTTGATTATTCAATTGTCATAATAACACAGTGGTAAAGAAACAAGTTTAGATTTCGATAAAAGTTGGCTATTTGGTCATAGAAACAGAGGACCACTTTAGCTTTCATAAACCGAGTGAAAGGGAGAAGGGCATGTAAGCACTGGAACTCCAATAACTCCTAGCATCTGCGTGACCTTCCTCATCATCAGCCTTACTGATGGCTCTTCTTGAATGCACCAAAATGCAACCCTTAGGAATCTCTCCAGTAGATATCTAACCTACTTTGATAGCAGTAGTTGTAAGCCAAATCTGTAAGAATTTCTCCGTTGTCATTTTCGTCAGTTTCTGTTGGAATGTTCTTCCTACAATAGATGGATGATCTCTAGCAACAAGACCTCAAAGCTATATATATCAACCATCGTAGTGATTGCCATACTCCTTTATTTATGAGAGAAAGGTAACTGAATTCATTAAGAAAAGAGAAGGGTACATAAGAAGGTGTACACATATAAAGAAAAGAAAAACAAAAACAGGAAACTTCAGGGTATAAATCTTCTAACAGAGCACCTAATTTTTCTAGTCCATCTACAAGAGCATTAAATTCCCTTGGAATTCAAATCAGGTTTGCATTAGAAGCAGTCAGTAAATCCCTTGACTTCGTTAGAAAGTGTCCAAGTCTCCACAGTCTGGTCTCTTGTTTTCCTAACAATTTTATAGTGTTTGCTGAATCGCCTTCAATGGAGAGGTTCTGAATACCTAATCTGTTAACTATTTTGATCCCTGTAAGTACAGCCAACACTTCTACCTAATCTGTTAGTCTCCTGAACCACTTGGGTGCAACATACCTTTTGGTTTTCCTAATAACTGTATGAGTTCGACTCTAGTTATTCACCAGAAGCTTTGCCAATCCAAAGTCAAAAACCTTGGTTTAAAACAATCATCAAGAAGCATATTTTCACAATAGATGATTTGGGTTCTACACTCTTCATGCAAATATAGGAGCCCTCTTGCAGCTCCAAACACAATATGGGTGCGTTGGTTCCAATTGGGCTTTGCAGTTCTGAAAAGGAAGCCATTGCTCATGAACTCATACACAAGAAGTCGATGTTTGTCCTCATTGCAATACCCAATCAATCATACTAGATTCTTGTGGTGGGTCTGTCCAATAACACCTACTTCTGTTCTGAACTCTCTCTCGCGCTCTTGAATTACTCTAACTTCTTTACTGCAACATTGACCCCTTTATAAACAGTTCCAAAAGAATCCCTTTCCAGCTCTTCGCTGAAATCACTTATAGCTTCTTGGAGGTCTTGCTAAGTAAAAGAGGATGGAACTTCTACAATATTTCTTTTTGGTTAAATCGATTTTGGTTTGTTGCAGTAAGCTAAGAAAACAAACAGGGTAGTTACAACTATCAATACCAAGTTAACAAAGATAGATCAAACTACCTGAAAACAGCGAGATGATGATGATCATTATCATTCTCTTATCTTTCTTTACATGGAGATTGTCTACTCGTTCTTTGAGGAGAGCCTTTCCATTAATGTTTCTATTTATCCTTCCATTTGAAAGTGGTAGAATCTTCTTCCAACAGGTCTAACCTGTGAGAACTACAACACAACAGTGAGTGTGATTGCCAACGAGAAAAACGGAGGAGTGGCAAATACAGTAATGAGAGTGAGACTGAGGGAGAGAGAGAGAGTGAGGGGGCGGGTTGGGCAGCGATCCCAACGTCTTAGTTGCTTCTCTGTCTCCGATGACAGTATAGTGGGATGATGTTGGTGAGGGTGAAGGAGTGTAAAATAGGTATTTGGAAAGATTTAATCATTTATTTAATTGACGGAAGGAAGGTTTTTGTCAAATTTTTTAAAAATAACAAAAAGGTTTTTGGTAAAATAAAATCATAAGGAGGGTTTTTATGATTATCAGAAAATTCAGGGGAGGTTTTTGTATTTTACCCCTTTTGGAAATTGCAATTAATTACGTGTTTCAATATATAACGGCTAACGCAATGCCTTCAGAATTCAGATTTAAGAGTCATCAAGTGAAGATACTGAAGTCGATGGATCATCCGATGATGATGGATGCCTCCCGACTTCCCCAAATTAAAACTTTTTTTTTATTTCTCCCATGCACACGGTTACATCATTAACCAATATTCTATACGCTCATGAGTCATGAGTCATGGCACGACTAAACTATTCTTTAATGAGAATTTTTTTTTGTTACCACTTACCAGATCTCAAATTAATTGATCCCTAAAATAAAAACACAAAAACATGGTTCTTATTGCAATTGTATATGTGTCTTCTTTCTTTCTAAAACTTGAATTAAAAACATGTAATTTAGTTTCGGATTTAAATAATAGATGAGATTTCATATTAGAAAAGATTATTCTTTTTATATTTTTTGCTGATGTGGCAATTAAAAATCAGTGAAAACAAAATTATAAGGCCCCCATGATTCACATTCCCGTTTGGTGCGGTTTTTTGTGCGGGTTATTGGCTTTTTAAAAGTCTAACAACCCGCATTTTCATCTTTTCCCTTATTATGGTTGAGAAAAGATTTAACTACAAAAAAAATGTACAACTACTTTTTGAAAAGCTCTAAACGCAACTTTTCAAAATTTTCCTATATTCTCCGGTTCAAGTTTGAATATGCTGATTTGTTCAAAGTAACTAGAAGGGCAGATAAATCAAATCAAATCAAAATTTGTGTGCGTCAAAAGTCATGAATCATACTTTTTCTTTTCTTATAATTAAAAAAGAACTTAGCAAACTTCTCATGTATAAACGCATACATTTCTTTATGAAATTTCAAATTTTAAAACAGCGAAAGAGACACGGTCATTCGTCATCATTTATGTTCATAAAACTGACGTCATCATCATCCTTTATTTGCCGGATACATTTATCCAAGATGAGGGGCATCTGGTTTTCTGTATAATGACGTCATCATCCTTTCCAAGGCATAACGACCGGAGAAAAGAAATTGCTTAGTTCAACTCTATTATTCATGGTTTTCTGTATATTAAAACCTTATTAACATATCGTTGATATTGACAATTAATTTAGTTATTTATTTATTTTCAACCCTTCAAAATTTCTGATGATGCGCAATCCGGCCGGTCCTTGCTGTCAATGACCTTGCCTTTGAACTGAGTAGCGGGGAACCTGAAACGGAGAAGATGAGGAAGTTCCGGGAAGAACCCGGTGTAAAGGCTCCGAAGCTTAAGTTAGAATTCTTCAAAGGCAAGATAAACCAAATAGCGCAAAGTTTTGCATACCTCCTCTTTGGGGGTGGAGAGCCTTTTACAACCACCTCGCGCACTCACTCCTAGACTCCTGTCTGGTCGGGAATGAGTATTTCCGTGCTTCTGCTAGTTCGGGCGTCATCGCCTCTGCTGGGGCAGAACCGTCACTGCTCCTTTTGTCGGAGCCGTCTCTGTAACTGGAGGTAGCGGTGACAGGTGACGGTGGCAGGTGGCCGTTTGAAATGCGGCCGTCAAGCGTCAGATCCCAAGTCAGTCGGGTGTGCCGCCCTGGA